GCAAGTCACAGACTTTTCAAACCAGTTCGCATTGGAAACGATGAAAAAAAGAAAGGATCTTTCCTTAAACTTTCCTTTGCCAACAAAGGTCTCGATGGCGTCAAATAAAGGCAACAGTAGTATACCGCTGTTCGAAACTCAAATATCGATAGAGATAAAAACAAATCCGGGTTACAAACTAAAACTGAGGGAAACGCATCAAATATAAGAGGAGAACAACGACACAACAAAAACACAACATTAAAATGTAACACACACAGAAACGAACTAAAATATAACAATGGTCAACTTAGGCAATATCCTTCATCATAAATTAGTTCAGTCGAAAATACCACCTTACTTTAAAGATCAGTCTGTACCAATAATTTCTTATACCTATACCAAACCAATTGCAACTAAAATTTTCAATTACAAACACGTTTTGCAGGATCTCAACATCGACGACTTCAAGTCTAAACCTCCTGATTGCACCTGTGCTAGTTTCCAATTCACATATAATCCGGCTGGACACGTTATTACCGGAGACCTCAACATTGTCAATAACACTTCCCTGCGAAATTTGTTATCCAAAGGTCCGAAATATCGTGAGCCTAAATCCATCAATTGGAAATACAACTTCAAAATACTGATGGATTCAGTCGAGGATTATGCCAGGCAATGGGCTAAACGCGAGAAAGCAGACGTAGATACTCTTTCCGAATGGATTAAGGCTGTGAGGTCGTTGATACAAATCCGAATTCAGAAACTAAATGGGCATATCAATAACCACGCTACGTCATTTTTTAAAGACCCAAATGTTGCAAAACACTTGTCCTACCTCCATGACAAATATGTTGTTGTCCCCGCAGATTGAGTCCCAAACAACATCGTTTTTGTGTGTAAATATCATTACATAGACTGCTTGATAAATGAATTAGGTATTGACAATTCACTTGGAAACTCAACATATACCCTCACGACACTTACCAAAGAGGAAATCCTGGATAATCATAGGTCAGTTCTATGTTCCTTTGGAATTTCAACCAAAGATGAAGAACTCGATCTTCCATAACGGTCAACCAACTCGTGATGGCTTCCATAAAATTTACGAAGGGATGACTTCAACTTCACCATTTGGAACTCTTGGTTTAATAGCTTCCTTGTGAGCAGCAATCCTCTATCAAGGAAATCATGATTCCATCACTGTATTGGATACCTGAACTACATAAGTGTCCTTACAAACAACGGTATATTGTTGGGTCTTCCAAGTGCTCCACGAAACCTCTTTCTAAATTATTAACATCTATTTTATCAGCAATCAAAGCCGGGCTCCAAAGTTATTGTGAAACTGCCTATTCTAGAGGTGGCGTGAATCAGATGTGGATACTAAAAAAATTCCAAAGATCTTTTAGAGTACATACAATCTAGGACTCTCTCGTCTTGTAATATTATTAAAACATTTGACTTTTCTACACTTTACACAAGTATTCCCCATTCCAAACTAAAAGACAAATTGAAGGAGTTGGTATTGCTTTGTTTCATTAAAAAGAATGGCGAACGTAGATACAAGTATCTTGTCTTAGGAAGGGATAAATCCTACTTTGTAAAGAATCACTCTGATTCAAACAAACAATTCTCTGAAACTGACATTATCAAGATGCTTGATTTCTTGATTGACAACATATTTGTTACGTGAGGACGTGTTTTTCAACAGACTGTCGGAATTTCAATGGGAACCAATTGTGCTCCTCTTCTTGCCGACTTGTTTCTTTATTATTATAAGGCTGACTTCATACAGAAACTTCTTAGGAAGAAAGATAAGAAGTTAGCAATATTCTTTAACTCTACGTTCCGCTATATAGATGATGTTCTCTCACTAAATAATACAAAATTTGGTGACTATGTTGAACGAATCTATCCCATCGAACTAGAGATAAAGGATACTACAGATACAGTTAAGTCTGCCTCATATCTTGACTTACATCTAGAAATTGACAATGAGGGTCGGTTGAAAACAAAACTTTACGACAAAAGAGATGATTTCAGCTTCCCAATTGTGAACTTTCCATTTCTATGTAGCAACATTCCAGCAGCGCCTGCATACGGAGTATATATCTCCCAATTGATACGATATTCCCGGGCTTGTGTTTCCTATCATGATTTCCTTGATAGAGGATTGCTGCTCACAAGGAAGGTATTAAACCAAGAGTTCCAAATGGTGAAGTTGAAGTCATCCCTTCGTAAATTTTACGGAAGCCATCACGAGTTGGTTGACCGTTATGGAATAACCGTTTCACAGATGATATCGGATATGTTCCTTATGTCGTAACTACAATACCCTCCCTTTTCACGAATGTGACTTACCGAATTAGACTATTTACCGGATTTGTAATAACATAAGCAACACGACGGGTGCCACATGTGGAGCAGGATCTGCTTACCCTTCCGGAGCACCTGAGATCACCCCCAGTTTTGGTGGGGTTCGTGTTGCTTAGTCTTTGGTTTTCTATGTTGTGTCATATGTACTATTATTTGTCTGTTTGTCTTTTTATTTTTGGCCATGGCGTTGTCAGTTTGTTTTCGATCTATGAGTTTGACTGTCCCTAAAAGGATGTCCAACGTAGATACAAGTATCTTGTCTTATGGAGGGATAGATCGTTCTTTGCAAAGAATAACTCTGATTCAAACAAAAAATGTCTGAAAGTGACATTAAATTATCAAGATGCTTGATTTCTTGATTGTCAACATATTTGTTACGTTTTGAGGACGTGTTTTTCAACAAACAATCGGCATTTCCATGGGAACCAACTGTGTTCTTCTTATTCTTGCCGACTTGTTGCTTTATTCATATGAAGCTAACTTCATTCAGAAACCTCTTATGAAGAAAAAAAAAGAAGTTAGCAGTATCATTTAACTTCACTTTCCACTATATAGATGCTGTTCTCTCACTAAACAAATCAAAATTTGGTGTCTATTTTGAACGCATCTTTCTCAATGAACTTGAGATAAAAGATACAACAGATACAGTTAAGTCTGTCTCATATCTTGACTTACATTTCGAAATTGACAATTGAGGTCGGTTGAAAACAAAACTTTACGACAAATTTGATGATTTCAGCTTCCCAATTGTGTCCTGTCCATTTCTATGTAACACCATTCCAGCAGAGCCTGCATACGGAGTATATATATCCCAGTTGATACAATATTCCAGGGCTTGTATTTGCTATCAGGATTTTTCTTGATAGCGGGAAGCTGCTCACAAGGAAGCTACTTAACCAAGAATTCCAAGTGGCCAAGTTGGAATCATCCCTTCGTAAATTTTACGGACGCCATCACGAGTTGGTTTATCGTTATGGAATTTCTGTATCACAAATGACGACGGATATATTCCAATTGTCGTAACTACAATCCCGTCCCCTTTTCTCCAAATGTGATCTACCGAATTAGACTTATCAGCGGGTTTGTCCTAACGTGAGCAACACGACATTGCCACATGTGGAGCAGGATCTGCTAGCCCTTCCTTTTGTGTTTTTTGTACTGTTTTTTGTCTGTTGGTCTTTTTTTCTTTTTGAGCCATGGCGTTGTCAGTTTATTTTCGAATTATGGGTTTGAGTGTCCCTTAGGTGTCTTTCTCCTCTCTTTTTATGTATTTCTTCAACTTAAGGTCTTTCTTAATTTTTCCCCTCTCGAATTTTCTCCCCTTTAAATGTAGCAGTTGGTATGGAGTTAACAAAATACAAAGAATCGAAAACGTTTCAGAATCCTTGCAATTGATATACATTGTTTTCATTGATGACAATACTTTTACATTATTTTTTATGGATGATTCTACTTTAATATTTCGTAACTGCTGAAACGCTCTCCTAGCATGAAAAAGAAAAGAAAAGAACGTTACAGAAAAGTTGTTCTTTGAGTGTCCAAAACACATTCCTTATCTCATAACATAGAACAGATAATGGAAACGGGGAATGTGTCGAAGGTCCAATAACCCAACCAAAGAGAAGAAAAGGCCCATGGCCACCATTGGGTCTTCAACGCAGCGATAAAATCCCGCAGCTGGACCCTAAAATAATGTATACTAGTTCAGCGAAATACAACCACAATCAACTCCGAAACATACAAACGAACCAAAATAAAAATAAAAATAAAAAACACACAAGTCTAACAAAGGCTACAGGTTCCATACTTAGGACAGGCGCTAAAATGCGGCGGGTTAAATAGGTTTTGTGAGATCTGAACCCTCCTCTTATATCTCTAGCCAATGTAGATTGAACTAACACACAGCAATAAGCACAGTATAACTCAGTTTTAAGTCGAGTCCGATGTTAGAATAGGTCAAAAAAGAAACTAAGCAAAGTGATAGTGATCGATATTAATTAACAAAGAATTACTAACATTTACTGACATGCCAACTCCAAATCATAATTTAACTGATAAAACACTTTATTTATACTGGGTTTAAATTGATAATCGCCTCATCGTTGCAACTTGAAATGAAAATGAAACACAATACGAACACTAAAACAAAGACATTGTGACAATAATTTCTCTACTTGACTACACCGACAATGAACAATAAATGGATAAAATGAAATGACAGCACTTTTAAATAAAATGTTTCAATTCATCGTAACCCATCGCCTTTTATTATTAGAAAAAAAGGCATTTTTGTTTACAAAATTAATGCCATTATTTATAAAAGAGTACTTTTTGTAAAAGCCCGCGTTCTTATATCATGTCGTAACTTTTAGATTCCAGTTTATAGCTGTTGAAATATTAGATATTTTATGTTGATTAATATCCGTTTTATTGATATAAGACATGATGGAAACAACGTCAATTCACATTTTCTCAGTTGATTTTTTAATGACTACAAGTCGAAGTGACATTATTTGTTTTTATTATAAGATGTACGTTAGGCGTAAACTATTTTAATAATTGTAACTATTAAACTTTTACCAATGTAAGTTTTTGTAAAATTTTTCAATATTAAATTAATTTTTATATAATGTTTCTTTCAGAAATCAAAGCATTGAGAAGCCATATAGTTGTGGATGAAATTAAATGGACAATAGAGATAATTCAATAAAGTAGAAACGTTCTCTCCAGGCTATTTGAATATAAATGGCGTTAGTGCTGTTTTGTTTTATTTTCCTATTGAAAAGTTCATGGATTTTATATATTGATGCTAAAAATGGTGCGGATTATGCGGATGACAAAACTTATTTACAAGAAATAAGAAAAGGAAGATGCATGGCAAGTTGTTATGACCAGGTAAGATAGATAAATCTTTTAAAACTATAATACCGATATATATACACCCCATACCAAATGTGGACATAATTGAGAAATATTAATGTTGTCTGTGAGTTATCTATGGACTATTTATTGTCTTTCGTACTTTTTTGGCTACTGCGTTGTTTGCTTTTCTTCACCTTATGTTGTGTGTAATCATCATCTCAAGTATTTAAGACAAAGCAACTTTTATATCACAGTACCGTATTAAGATAATTATATACCTTATTTCTTTAGACAAGAACAATAATCTTTAGTGTTATCGATTTACATAATGTTATAAACAGTATCTATATGCAAGATACAATGAATTATAATTTGTGACCCATTAGTAGATTTGTATCATTGAACATCAGTTCCCTTGACGATTAACAAAACTATTAGTAGTCATATATTTTGCACCAATCGAGACTAGACTTATTCGAGACACAATTATCCCCAAGGGTGACTGGAGAATACAAATATGGTCACTACAGGTCTTCTTCCTACCGGCAGTAGAACCCTTGCCAAAGTGGGGCGTCCGTTTGGTTGTGCGGGATGTACAAGTGCGCATCCACGTCCGGTTAGAATGGGGCCGTTAAATCCAATGCCTCGTGTAGAGAGAGTGCCACGCTCTCTGCACGTAAAGAACCCTTGCAAAAACTCTTTGAGGGGTCCTGTTGTAAGGCAAATTTATTGTCCTTATCCAATTTACCCTCATTTTCCAGTGGCAGTCTAAATTTCCCCGACCTTCTTCTCGGACGGCCTACATTACAGGACCTACCTATTGTATTTATTGTTAATTTGTTCTCGTCCTGAATAAGAATGAGATATTTGCCACTGGACGTACAATCAATCAATCAATCAAGACACATTTCTATATAATTATATGAACGAAGTAAATACCCCCAAGGATTTTGGTATTTTGATTTGTGCAGACACTGACTATAGAAATTATAAATATGAATACAAGAAGATATGTGGTATTCTTAAGTTAAAAAAACATCAAATGATATCAATAAAAACACACATATGTAGAGAAACATACTGTTTTCATTAATAGACAGGTGTCCATACAATATATCAAGCTCAAAATCGCCCTTAGTATATGAACGCAGTCAATAAATATCACATAAACTAGAGAGGATCTGCAATTAATACTAAGTTCTCCACATAACAAAAGAAAAAACACATTTAATATAAAGTATACGAAAACTGACAAGGTTCTTGACTTAAAACTGGCAATACAAATATGACCGGGTTAATCTCTTGTTTGAAATATCAAACCTACTTTTTAAAATTTCGATCAATACAATAACAAAACATACATAACAGTGCATACCAAAAACCTTGTGATTTTATTCCTTTTCTTCATCGAGAATGCCACGGTAACGACTACTGGAGCAGGATCTGATTAACCTTCCGGAGCACCAGAGAGCATCCCTGGTTCATGGTGGTGTAAGTGTTGGTCAGTCTGTAGTTTCCTGTGTTGTTTATTTTAAATTCTGTTGTTTTATCGTTTGATTTTTTTTATTCAAATATTGTTACTTAATACAGTCAAACCTGTTATGAAAATGAGTTTTTGAGCCACTTGTCTTATCTTGTCCCGCTGTAGTAATACGAAGCACTTTGAACTTCTATTCGAATATAAGGTTATTTCTCTAGTCCCGAGGTTGACCTTTATATATACCGGGTTTGTACTAACATGAGCAACACGATGGGTGCCACATGTGGAGCAGGATCTGCTTACTCTTCCGAAGCACCTGTGATCACACCCAGTTTTTGGTGGGGTTCGTGTTGATCAGTCTTTGGTTTTCAATGTTGTGTTTAGTGTACTATTGTTTGTCTGTTGGTCCTTTTCTTTTTTAGCCATTGCATTGTCAGTTTATTTTCGACTTATGAGCTTGAATGTAACTCTGGTATCTTTAGCCTCTCTTTTGACTGTTTTTTTTATCTAATAAACCATCTTAAATTTGTATTCCTCATATTTGAAAAGAGCTCTAAGTGTCAAACTTGACACCACCTCAGATTTTATTGATATTCCTTTTGATAAGTTAAGAAATAACTATTAGAAATATAGTTGCTATGGTAACAACAATATTAAATTATTATATGTATGATTTTCCACAGACTCTTTCTTAAAATGAATTGTTTTTGTTTACTTTGACATTGAACTAACAAATTCAATAATTTGTGCACTTTTTATATTTTTGATAAAAAAAAAAATTTTCAAAGAGACAAATATTATTCATGAAAAATTTAAATAATGAAGTTCTAAATATCAGAGACTTTATACTTTCATACTTATAACTTCCTCACGCAATTATATTTATAAATCATTTCAAATATTCTTTACATGTAAAGTAACAAACATAATGCCAGCCCCTGAACCCTACAAACCAACATTATGTACAATGCGTTGCCAAGGTTACAAGTACTACATATTGGTAATTTCTTCTGAGACAGAGCGCTTAGATCAGTCAAACTGTTGATTGCAAAAAATATCAAACTTTAACGGGACAACATTTATCACATAAATCAGGTTTCGTGTTTCCAATAGTTTATTGACACTTCAGAGTTTTAACTAACCAACATCACAAATGCAACATTCTCTTCCTTCTATATACACAAATCTGCAGATAAACATAAAACTGAAAAGAAAACATTTCAATCTCTCATTTTGGCATTCATTGTTTTAATCTGACCGTACTTTAATTTAAAAATTTAGTTACCAAATTTTCCTGTAAAATACGTTTACTTTTCCTAAATGAAAGGCCTGCAAATATATAAGAAAATAACAGGTTGATTCGTCAGCACAAATATTAGCTACACATGAAATATATGGAAAAAAAGTCATGAAAAAACTAATAAAAAATTTTATCATATGATTTTGAATCAGGTATAATACTATGTCAAGTCATCATTTCATGCGTTTATTGTTTAAGAAATGATAAAAGAAGAAACTAAATCAGGCAACGACAATTTTACTGCTGTTCTTTAACAATTGTTAGTCATAATTTACATCAAGTCAAAAAAAGACTAATATGGACGTCAGTTTTATTCCCGACATGCAAAGCAAAGATCACATTATATCATATGTCCTACATATTCAAGTAATTGTTCAGTAGAATATCAATCTTCAATAGTTTACTCCTCTGGTTCACTGTCAATATCATCGATCACTCCACTGCTTTTTTAAGATAAGAAGATTTGGTATGATCGCAGATGAGACAAATCTCTACCACTGATTTGCCTGATTTACCTTGCAATTTTGATGCCTGTAAACACCCAGAAACCATATCACTGAGGCTTTTTACATTTCAATTCCGAATTATTTTAAGAGATCGATACTGTCCCGGAATTCCCGGTCAACCACAACGACATCATTTGGTTCCAACCATTCTTTAATTCTTCCATGTTATTTCCCGAAATTGTATTCAAATCTTTTGCGTCATTGTTTTTGCTATTATATAGGTAGGGTCCAATGACACTGACAGTGTAGCATGTAGTAGTAACAAAAATCCTAATTATCTATTTGTTGTAATTGGCTTTGAACTAGATTTCAGTAACAGCGAGTACTCTTATATTAATGCTTTTTGACTATTGATTTTATGTTAGTTGGGGTTTTTTGTATTGGCTCCATATTGAGCCATTTACAACAGATTTGTACAGTTTGATCTTTTGTTGCGCAAGTACACCACTGTCTACCAGCACACCACTGTCCGGGATGTTTTGGGGAGGGGGAGTGAGAGGTAACAAACAAGTTTAACCACGCCACACGATGCGACGTGTAGGCGATACGAACGACGACGCCAAACCATGAAATTACAATTTACAATAGATATTCGTTTCTTTATAAAACATTTACAATTTCAGTAAATATTTATGTATTACTGATATATGGTCATTTCTTTATCGTTCATTGTGTAATGATATAGACCATTTGTTTTATCGTAGCAGACCCGAAAAAAAACGTAGTGTCAATCTGCTTTGCACGTATTCTGTCAATATAATCTGTTATCTTACTATTTTTTTTTTATTCAATTCGATGCAACTAATGAAAATACAACACAGAATGAAAAGTTTGCTTGAATATTGCTATAAAAAATGAAAACAAAATATTTTAGAAAATCGTGAGTCTGACGCGCTTTTCTGGTGTAATTAACGAAATAAATATTATGAATTAAAGGAAGAAAACATTATGTAGTTTGTTCATGGCTTACCGTTTGCGGTTAAATCACATCTTTTAAAATCATTTAAGTTCTTTAAGTTTTGTTAGTGGTAAAAAGGCTAGTTCTGACGGGATAGGGTGACATGTCTTCCTGTGGATTATTTCCTTCAACAACTGAAAATATAATTTTATGATGAAATATTGTAAGCATGTAAGTTGCTATGTCATCAACGATAGCCCCGGTCAGAAAAATCCGATCAAAACCATTCACCTTGGCCAAACATAATTTAAAAAGTAAAGTGTGAAAATGTTATAAAGCTGTGTCAAAAACAACCGATTATAAACCGTCTAAAGCGTAATACTTGATTACATTTTTTTCAATCTGATTTGTGGTCAGACGTGACGAAGAAAGTAAATATTTCCCGCTTAACATCAATATCAAAGATATTATATACATGTGTACATAGATGAGATATCTTTATAGCTAGTATTCAGTAGTATCGCTAGTGCAGTAATTTCCTTCTATACCAACGCACCATTTATAACTATAGTTCTACATAGTTTAGCATACGTATAATCTCAGATTCACAACATTGGCCATCAGTTATGTTAAACCCACTTAGCCTGACTTCATACAGGAACTTCTTAGGAAGAAAAAATAGAAGTTAGCAGTATCTTTAACTTCATTTTCCGCTATATAGATGATGTTCTCTCAATAAAGAATTAGTGACTATGTTATACGCATCTATCCCAACAAAGTTGAGATAAAGGATACAACAGATACAGTTAAGTCTGCCTCATATCTTGCCTTACATCTACAAATTGACAA